AGGAAAGACCTTGCATCCCTCAGAGGGCTCATGGAGCCTTGTCCCACTCTCTTCCTGGTCAAACCACACGTATTTATTCTTAATCATCACAGACTTTCTAAATGTGCAATTGTTATTAAGATTTGTGTAAAAAATCAATAAAGAAAAATCACCACAGAAAATTCTGCTATGCCTCGAGTCAGCAAAGGTGGCTAAATGGAGAGAAACTCCAATTGCCTAGAGAAACAACCCGTTCGTCGATGAGGTTATACAATCCCCTGCTACTGAGAGATCACTTTTTTGGTTGTTTTGTTGGGTTTTGGTAACCAAATATAGAACGAAGGCAATATGCGTCTCTCAGATTCTTCTGGCATGTTGCCATCATCAGGCAGTAGTAATACCTTTGTGTTTTTATCCACTTGTAAATATAGGCTTTTGACAGCATTTGTTTTCACCTTCCAGTACATTTATGTCTACTTTTTTTTTTTTTTAAATTTAGAAAGGTGACTTTCTAGCTATTTTCTGTGTCTTTGCGTGGTGGGGTGATAGCCTCAGGTGATGAGGTTTAAGTAAGTTTTTTTCCATCGTGTTTTTGTGCCTACAGTGGAGGCTTCAACTTCTCATGAAATACAGTTATTTCTTTAGCAGAAGATTCAAAGGCAGAAATCCAGCCAAGTAACTCTCCCCAGCTATAGCCAGCCTCTCAGATTCATGAAACACTACATCCACGTTCATTGTACAAACAGGAATGGGTGGAAAATATCTGAACAAAACCGAAGATTGTAGAGAAAAATGCTGTTAGTGTGCAACCTGTGCAGAGCTGCTTACAAAGCCATGCCAGTCAGCAAACCCGCTGAGCAATAGAATTGTATCGTCATTGCCGGCTCACTTGTGTCCAACAGTTTCAGCCCCAAGATTATGTTGTAATTTTTTTTAAGAGGAAGTCGCCTTTAATTTCTGCTTTAATGAATGTAAATTATGGCTCTTCGTAAAGTTTACATTGTTGTTCTGAAGCATTTTTTTCCTTTTAGGTAAACTGGTGGTGGTGCTACGAACACAGATATTATTTAATATTAACAAATTCTCTTTCTACATTTCTGTATCTAGTGGCAAGTACTCTGTGCCAGTTATTTTGCTTTAAACTTTAATCCCAAGAGAGCTGACGTTCTGATCTTTGAAAATTTTCCTGTTTTCCTTGGGCAATAATAAAGTTCTGACTATTATTCCAGAATGCTTTCCACATGCTGTAGGTATGTTCAGAATATGAACATGAAAAAAAAAATTAAGCCTGGTGTGACTTTTCATATCTTTCATAGAATTTTAATATATTGTGTATTTTTATAGATGTTGTGCAATAACCTAAATTACACTAGACATAGTTAAAACAGAGGAGAAAATGTCATTCTTCAAATATTGCTCTATCTATCTGCATACCATATTAAACATTCATTCAGTGGGAAGGTAAAATACAGTTCCCTCTTAAAATATTGTCCTCTCTTTGTGGATTTTCAGCTTTCATCACTGAGAAATTTTCATAATAATCTAACTAACCAGTACAAATGTTGCATACAGTATTTCCACTGAAATACAGATGGACTCAGCTGGTTGCTGCCACCTTTGCTTTTTGCATTAAAAACCAGTTAACGGAACTGTACTTCTATAAGGAACACAGGTATTGTATTATGGCTCTAAGGAAAGAAAGATCTGATCTCGGATGAGATCCCGTATTCTTCAGCCTCAGGACAGCAATGGCATTCGGCAGCTGTTTAGCTTTACGAGATGCCGAAAACCTTGCTATTCGGTAGAACACTTTTTAAAGAATGTTTCTTTGAAACCACTAAAGGTAACGCGCACACAAAGTGCATTTCCACCCTGCCACACCGTTAGTGATGTGATGGACGTTATTCTGCCTTTATGCAGTTGTAGCTGAAATAAGAGGAGCCTTAACACCATGAAAAAGAAATCGGTTTAAATCTAGACAAGCTCTTCACTAAAAATAAAATGGAGGAAAAATAAGATAAGAAATAGTTCATGCGTCAATAAATAATTAAGTTGGCACCACGATTTTAGCTTTCAACCTAGTTGTTTTACTGGATTATAGACTTATTGAGTAAGTCTACCCATTGTTACCTACACACCACAAACAAGGTACATCAAAGGGAAAAAAAAAAAAAGAGAGAAAAAAGAGAAGCCTTCCAGAGCACAGCTTTTTGAACGCCAAGAATTCGTAAGCCTGTAACGAATTGTGCCACTGTTAAAAGTTTTCAAAATATTCCTGAGCAACAAAAGGTCATTTCTGGAATAAAAGTCATCTTTTCTGAGACTCCCATGAGGCATTAGCGTGTTTTGGGAGATACTTAGAGAAACAGATCCGTAGCTTGTTATCAGCTGTTTGCATTATCTTGTCTTCAGCTAAATCAGGATAATTTATAAAGCAAGGACAAGACGTGATGTTAATTATTCCTCACGTGGGAACACACCATCATGAACTGTTTTTGTTTTGCATTGGTTTAGGTACAGCTCTTGACACATCTGCCTGCCGTATATAATACCTTACCCCCGAGCGCAGAGTCAGTGGGGCTGTATGCAGAAAGTGTTGCTCAGAGTGGGCAAAGGTACCTGACCTTGGCCCTTGGTAACTGCCTGTGATGGATTTTTTTGGTATGAATTTTTATAACAATTTTTTTTTTTTAAAAAACGTAAACCTACGACACAGAATGCTCCTTTGCCCAAGAACTTTTTTTCCTGCTTATACTCATGGGTAAACTGAAAAAGACAACGTTAGCTTATTAGCCACACAACTTTAAGACACTTTACAATAAACAAAGGAGAAAAAGGGATTTTTTTTTTTTTTTTAAATAATAAACAAGAGTTAGCTGCTGCTGTCAGGTAGAGGGGTATAAATCTGGAGTGAACCTGCTGAGGTGAATGGATTAATTTGGGAAATATGCAGTATATGTGATTGCAGAATTTAAGTTTTAAATCTGAAAAGCCTACACTCCATTCCCAGAGTGCCAAATGTTTTCAAAGAAATCAGTGAAGCTTAATAGTCCTTTCTATGACAGCCCCACTGTGTTTGCATGGTCCTGGTACAGAAGACCTCCAGTGTAAAACTGAATCAGATCCCATATTACACCAGGAGCGATGGGGGATTGGGCTGGCATGTTCATGGGTTTGTTTTCTAAAACAATGCTGTGTTTTCTGCTTTCTAATCATTCTCTTTTTATCAAAGATCAGGCTGAGCTATTAAGTGAAAAAAAATCATGTTGGAAAGGATGTAAAACCGAAGGCTATATATGTATATACAGTACGTTTAAAGCCTTTTATTTTTATATTTTGAATGCTCTAAATTAATAAAAAACTAATTATAAAGCATTTTGCTTTTAATTTTCAAAAGTATCTTAGTAGTGTCTTCTCTTTGGCTAAGTACTGATGATGAAATGCAACAATGAGGAACATTTGCCTTAAAATTGTAAACCGTAACAGCTAATTTTATTGATTTTAGCTATGAAGTAGCATAGGTATGAGAAGTTACTGTTGTCAAATTTAGTCAAGAGAGGTTTGTTGAGCATGTCAGTACAAGCATCCTTGAAAGCGCTGAGAATGCATTTCTATTTTTAGCTTTTTGTTGCTTTTCTAATGCATTAAAAACACTCGTGAGACGAGACTTCACATGTGAACTGTCATTTTCAAGTAACAAACTGGAAAGATATTTCTTCAGGATTGCTGGGAAAAAGGTTTGTTCCACCTTAAGAGGAAGAACGTTTAAAGTTAACAGTGTGAATGTAGTATGGGGTGATACAGAAACTTCCAGTAATTGCAAGATATGCATTCATTTGACAACAAACCCAGTTTAGATAATGGGAATGTTTTTATAACAGAATAATGTGTAATTTTAAATTATTTAAAAATTTATTGAAAGGAAACTGTGGAGTGGTACAACTGCATAAACCGAAACTATGTCTTCAGCCAGCACAGCAGAAATTATCATATTTCACAGAGCTAGTTAGAATGGCTAGTAAAGACAGGAGTACATCACTGACATTTTATTTATATTTACAGTGACTGGGAAAAGCAACAATTTTAGCTTTAGACCAACATTTTTTATTTATAGAAAGGTGCATTTCTTTGAGGTATATGGCTAGCTAATTACGACTGCATATGTGCTATCAACCTAGAACATTGTTTCTCTAACCCACAGTGGTAATGAAAGGCTAATGGGGCAGTCAAGGTGCATTGAGCATTTTTATCACAGGACAACTCTTTCAGCAATAGTATATGAAGGTGAATAAAAAACTCACAGTAAAATCTCATATGCCTAAAAGTATTTTTTTCTGCTCAGTTATTTACTCATTACTTCTATGCTTCCCACAGTTGTTTTGCACTTTCATGTAACTTGATTCAGACGAATTATTTTCAGTATCTTCTATGACCTGAGTGAGATTTATACGATATATATGGCTAAGAAGAAATAGAACTTTTAACAGTAAGGTTGTGGCTAGTTGTGCTGTCTTTTTTCTATCCTAACTCCCAACAACTTAGGAAGCTCTTCTATCAATGTTGAAATCGTACTGTACTCAATTGAAACTGGACCCAAGATTGACGTAAGAGTTTGCAGAGTATGGGTCATGTTCTTAACCTGGAGTCAACGGAACTGTCAGTTTACACTAGTATCTGGCCCCCCAGCATTAATACATTTTTTTCTTCAAAACCCCCTGGAAGTTACTATCTATCTTGCCACTTCAGCTGAAATTTTTTTTTTAAAAGTGTATTGACTATATAGTATAATTCAGTGTCCAGAATTTTCAGTTTGTCCTTAAAAAACTAACTTGTTCCTATGTCTCCTTTATATTTTCTCTTGATCCAGTACAACAATTACAAATACCAACCGTGCTATTTACTTACGCACTTACAGAAAAACATGTGCTTAAATATTTTCTTGGATCAGGACCTGAAGACCAAATTTGTTTTGAACTGTATTAAGATCAGTGTAATCTGAGGGCATTCAACACTATAAAGGGTGAGAATCACTTTTACTTTATTAACATGTATTTTAGAATGCATATTATTTTAAAGAGTACGTTTTTCAGAAGCGCTACTTGTGATCAGCTGTGTCCTGAAGCCATGCATAAACGTATTCATAAACCAAAAGCATCACTGCACCACCTGGAAGAAAAGATATTATTTTACTACATATAAAATTCAGTATTTTCAAGATTTTGTAGAACATTTGTAGTGTGTAATCTAAACCAGGTTATGGCAAAGCCTTATTTGCAAAATGAATACTTCTACTAATTCCCTAATTCATTAAAAATTCACCAGTTCTTAAACCATATCAATTTTACTTAATATCAGACCATAAAGCTTGTATAAGCTTTATTACATATATTTTAATATATATATTATATATACGTATGAAATAAAAATCACCCTTAGTGTGATTTTTCCTAACATTTTTTTCAAGATTAATATTTTTCTTTGTTCTTTTACAAGTGAAGCTTTTAATCTGTATATTTGTGTGTTTGTTTAGAGTTAGATTTGGCCATGAAAGAGCAACCTGAGTGGTGGAATGACATAGATTCATCACCAGGGTGATGAAAATGCTTCCAGGTAAGATTCAAGAAAGGTCTTCAGCTGTTTGTTTACCATGTCTAAAGCGGAAGATGACAGCATTGAAATGACTATAACCTCCCTGTGCCTGTACCTGGCTATGAATCCACAGGCGAAGTTTTGATGTGATGAAATGGCACTACCTGCTAGAACTGATAAGAGTACAAAATCCCAGCTTGAATGCCATAAAGTGTCTTTACTGTGAAGAAGTGTCTGTCTTAGTGAAGCCAGAATAAAATCCTTCTGTAACGAGCCTGTAATTGCTGTATGAGCTAAAGAAGGGAACATTTCAGAAGGTGTATATATATAACTAAGCATATAGAGAAGCTTCTAGTTGAAGAAGATGGGGCAAGAGAATCAGATTCCAGGCTGCAGGAGTAAAAGTGTGTTACAACGTCCTACTTGTAGGTGCCAGCACTGGGGCACAAATATTTTCTTTCCTTTGCCTTTGCCTGTTGGCTCAGTTAGCAGGTTAGCGTGGCACCTCTGACAAACAAGTCTTCTGCTGAACTAGGCTGACCTTTCTAGATAGATGAGATAGATAGGCTTGGACAACCAGGCACACAGAACAACCTCATGAGTTTTCCATGTTATTTATTCTAACGAGCCATCATCAGACTTGAAATCGTCTACGAACAGCAACTCACAGACAGCTAGGCAGAGCGAAAGCTTGCAAAAGGCTTTGACGGACAAATCATAGACACAATGTCTAAGATGTGATGTGAACTCAAATCAAGGCTGATTCCAATTCTCATACTATGTGATCTGTTTGCGTATCTCTTTTCCCCAGAGCATTCACGTGTTGAAAGAAGGAATTACCTTTCCAGTCACAATAAAGATTGCATTAGTGTTTCATCGGAAAGCCAAATCTATGTACTAGTCAATGGGACTACAAAAGTGTTTAAAACACAGTGCACATACAACTGATTTTCTGGAGCTGGGCCAGAATGCATAGTCATTTGTAAGATGGAAAATTTTATTCCAAAATCTGCTGTGCTGATGGGTACCGGGGAAGCGAAACCTTGCCTTCTCTTTGTCCTGTATGTAATCCAGTATCTTTGGAGTTTAAGGGAAAAGGCTTTTAGCCCCGGAGTTATGCCTAGCTGCCTTGTTTCCCCTCCCCACCTTCTTCCCTTGCCCTGCACAGTAACCAGGCATGGTCTAGCACTTAGCCAGACGGATTGGATATGCAAACATTTACAGACAAACCTAATGCCTCCTTTATACTGCAGAGCAGACTCTGTACCTACTTGCTTTTAACCATGTGTGTTCTTGCCTATTAAACCACCTTGCACAATTGGAAATACAATTTCACGGGAACGGGATACTGTTCAAATCTGGGCTTCTGCTCTTTTGACACAGACTGCCTCTGTGGGCTGGCAAAGTCTAAGGGCCCGGTGCTCCGCTTTCATGATTAATCAAAACCAGTCAGGGAACAGTAGACTAAAAGTCGAAAAAGATCTAGCTCTCAACCACTGCTCTCCCGCATTTGGCGTATCAACTAGTGAGAAAGGGTCAACCAACAAACCCAGTTTTAAGCTATCCTTATCCTTTTAGTCTTCCAGGGTCATGCAAGTCTCTTCCCAGCTCATGCTATTGGCCTTTTAGGGTCTGTTCTTTACAGCCCCTGCAGAGCATGGGAGAAGAAAGTAACTGGAATTTGATGTGTTTGGGCTATGCCTCGACTAGTTGAGAGCATTTATACTGGCGGGACTCTAACCTGCATTTTAAGGTGACTTTACATTGGTACAGAACAGTCAAAGTGAAACCAAAAAAATCACATTAGAAGGAATAGAACAGCTTTAAGAAACACTTCCACAGGTTTTACAGTTCTGGCATTTGCATGGGTGCATTTGGCTTGTTCACAAATAAAGTAATTGCACAATGCAGCAGTTACTTGGATCTGCAATCATCTGATGTGTATGTGTAAATGATTTTTTAAGACACATATTTAGCAAAATCCGTCTATGATACTATTAGATGATGCTATTATCAGAAGAAGTCATTCAAAGATGAAAGAGGTTTTGATTATTTCTGGCACACTGTTTCATTTATTTGACTGATACTTGCTACATTTTGTCAAGACATGGAAAAACAGGAAGAGAAAGGAAGGAAAAAAAGCAATATAGAAGTGACAGAGGGAAAATTACCTGGACCAAGCCTCATGATCTTGGGAACCAAGCCTTTGTACAGAGCCAGAAATCTGTAGCAGAAGAGAAACAAACAAAACATTTCAAACAATATTCTTGCGCTAAAAGAAAAATGGAATTTTAGCATGTGTTTGTTAAAATGCTGGCAGAGCACTTAGAAGCAATTATTTGAAATTACACATGTTCAATAGCAGACCGTATCTGGATTTTAACATTTTACAGAGGCAGATCAGATGAAGAGAAAAAGTTAATCAATGTTCAGTCACAAAAGCTACGTTGTGAACCTAGCCAATCAGAAATATGACTTTAATCAGCGAGATGGTTTTACTTTCAAGACAAGTCTGTTAACAACAGCTGCATACATGGACAAAATGACTGCTATAATTGAATATCAAAGCTACAACTCAGTCCCCACTTGAGAAATATTTTAAAAAGTTGGAAAACGTTATTGCCACAGGGATCTGTCCCCAATTTAATTATTTCAGCAGTCATTTTAAAGGTAGAGGTCTGAATAATTACAATTAGATGAAATTGGAAAATATATTGTTTTCTGTTGATATTTTCCTCTCACAAAATGAAGAGTTGAAAAAATTACACGAGATACACAAAGCATTTTTTTTGTGGAACATAAATTTTGACAACCTAGTAATCATCTTGTAAGTCTTTTGTAAAAGATCACATGGAGTAGGAGGATATCTTCTTGTAATTCTTAAATACATTTTCAAAATGTTACTTTGTGCTCTTTTGATACGGGAGTTCAGGGTGGCTTAATGTTCCTTGTCAAATCTGAAATATAACAACATGGTTTTATGGACCCATATGAACTAAAACAGAGGTCTGGACATTTATTAAAATAAGAATGTTTTACCCTTCCTCTTTATAGACTGTTGCCATAGTTTTAAAACAGGTTCTGTACTTGATCTCTCCAGGAACTGGCTGTGGTCCTTGAATCCTACTTTTTGCAACATCAAAAGGAATGTTAATAATTGAGGCTATTGTTCCTGAGACTAGCCCAATTCCAAATTTCCTCAAAAACTCCAAATTCGGATCCTACAACAAAAAAGAGAGAAAGAAAGAATAAAAAGGGAAATGGAAGGACCTGTGCAGGTTAAGCACTATAAAGTACTATGTATTTAATCAGAAAACTCACACAACACAACACACTCGTGTTATTTTAGCGGAACACATTAGGATTTCCTATGCTGGAACTTGTTTTCTTGACAATCCTATTGGCTATGTTTTTACACATGGTCTAAATTGCTGAAGTACACATTTCCTCACACAGGATTTATAAACACAGTTCATAAAGAAAGACTGGTATGGCATATGGGGATGATTTGTATAATTGGGCTTCACAATGTACTTAGTATTACTGTATCAAAACAGGAGAAATCCAAGCACACTATTAGCTAATTGGCCAGAATATTTTACAAATGACAGCAACTTCCACCATGAAGCCTACTAAAACGCTCATTTGTGTGTTGGACCCCCAAATGCTAAATTAAATAAAGGCTAATCTCAGTCTGCTGCCATTCCCCTCCAGGTTTTTTACATTTATTTTCACATGTAGCTGATCCACTGTACTGAGAAGTGCTAGCTTCCTGTTATTAACAATCCAACTCGGCGCAACTGCAAAAGAGCCTCCATGTTCTGCGCATTATAGACGGTGGTAACTCACTCAGCTAATTGGACGAAGAATTTACAACAGATTGTTTCTGAACCCTACCATATATTCACAGTAAAAGTTAGAAGCAGGTTAGAAGTGCATCTAAAACCTTCTTTGCTCACTCACAGTTCACAGGCCAGCGGGTTTTATTTGATCTTTTAGAAAGACCTCCTACCTTGGCGTTTTCTGTGACATCAAATAACTCAGAGTTTATCTGGGAGTCAAAGTCTCCTGAAGCAAGTCTAATCCTATTTTTCTAAGTAGTGGAAGTCATGGGGAAGTGTGTTCCAGTGCATTTCCTATGCACATAATTTTTTTGCTATTAGTCTTCAACAGCAAGGACACTGCAGAAGACTCAATATATGCAGTTCCGTTTTTTTCATGAAGGTACTTCATCAGCAAAATCATCAGTAAAATAACAGATGATCTTGCCATGTTACAAAATCAGCACAATATTAAAATGAAAGAGTGAGTTCTTTGTTTTCTAAACATGTACGTTTGTGACTGAGAAAAGGAACAATGAAGAAGTTTTCCCTTCCAGATTAGTAACAAGGAACATAAATTAAAACTTCCATAATACGCATTGGACGAAGTCCATACAGGTGTTTAGAGAGAAATGTCAAAATCAACAGAGCTTTTTACTACTTGCAGAAAAACTCAACACCTTGATTTCACAAAATATGAAACATACCGGTAATACCTTTTAAAATTAGAATGGCTTGTGGCACATAAAGAATTGCGAGACTTTATCAGCAAAACACTTAGTAGCGAATTTCTGTTTGTTCTGTACATGCTGACAGTGGTTTAAATGGAAATAAAATAAAGCCAACGTTTCTGGTATCCAGAGAAGAAAAAAGAACCCCTCTTGAAGTCTGAGGGGCAGCAGTATGGCAGCCCCGTTCCAGCATGGTGCCTACCCAGCTCCCGGCTGCAGGCGTATGGTTATACCCATACCTGAGAGCTACGTACTATTCCAGATTGTACTAACCTCCTCAAACCAGGCTGCAGTGAGGAGGCTACCACTGCTCTGCTGCCTTTTCATAGTCCAGAACGGTCTGAAGTATTTTTGTCACGCAATTTGGCACGAGGACACTGTCTTCCATAGCGCCAAGCACAGCGGGCTGCCCTCTGGGCTAGGCTATACATGGCAGGCAAAAATATTTACTTTAAACATTGAATTTCAAGCCTTGCTGCTCCTGACAAATCCTTTATAATTGAACGATTGAGCATTTTCGTATTTTGGTGAATTCCCTATGCCAGAGTTGCCTGCTTTATGATTGAGAGTGCCACAGAGTATAGGATACAGTGGGTGTCCAATCAAAGGAGCATCTATTAAAACCTGAGACTGCACTAACACAAGTAAAGGGAAATTATATCAAATTGGTTTATTTCTATTCCAGTATTTCTGACACAAAAAAAGTTGAAAGGCAGCATTGTGCCCATTTGCAAAACTGGATTCTAACCAAATGTGCTATGGTATACACTAGTTTTGCTATGTAACTTGATTTTTTATTATCTATCTCATGGGAAAGATTTTTCTATGACATTCGTCATTGTAATATCTGGGTCATTTCATTCTTATAACAGATTCAAAATAAATTTAGTTGTTAAAAATAATTAAAAAGTTATTTTTTCTAAAAGCATAGCTTAGTGGCATTTTACTGCGCTAATGTTTCCAATTGAAAAAAGAGATTTCCAAACATAATTTATGCCTCTGTCTACAACACTTACATGGACAAAGGAACATTGGCTGTCTACCAGGTAGATGCAAGTTGGTGCTATCAGGAAGCAGCGTCTGTCTTTTTACACTGGAAGTCCTTTTCCTACCCCATGGACAGTGCCAAAATACTCCTAACGTCGAGGATCCTGTGAAAGGTGATGCAAGGACAAGGTATCTGTCTATTGCTAATGCTGCGACTGGCTAGCAGAGGCAGATACCATTACGTTATTGTCACTAACTTCTGCACCATGCGGTTCACTGACCAAATATTATATGTTTCATATGTCGTACACTATTAAAAAAGATTCTGACAAGCTCCTCTTGCTTTCATAAATGGTAGAACTGGAGGAAAAACATATGTGAGTTCTATTTTTAAGCAAAGGCAATTTTTTATAGTATAAGCAGAACATATACAACAGAAACTTGATTGTAAATGATGCCACACCACAGAACAGTATACCACAAGGAAGTGAAACACCAGTTTGCTTATTCACAATGGAATGACTTTGGTGTGGTTGGATAATGTAACCTGTGATCATCTCACCTTTTTACGTGTTCTTCACAATCACATTTCCTGTACACCTGAGTCCCTGCCCTGTGAGCAGCCACTAATAAATGCCATATCTAGGCATGTCCTGCTGGATTTCCCTGCTTTCTTTGGAAGAAAAAAATTGGAGATGTTATCTCTCTGTTTTTTGTACTTCATTACTCCTATCATAACATTTTGTGGAGACTCCGTAAGTTCCTCCTGAATCGCATGCTGTTTAATTTCTTCTTTTATATTCCCTGGTTTCTAGCAACAGAAAATTCTAGCCCTAAATCTAGCACATACACACCCATATGCAAGAGTGTCACCCACTGGAGACAGTTTTAATTTATCAGTTTCAGTCTCCAAAGCCCTGGGCTTTCCTTTCCCTACCCTACCACTTATTTGCTGGGCACTTTGTAAAAAAGCTCTGTCTAAATCTTTGACCTCAGTCAAAAGCTTCCAGACTATCTTCATCTGCACTGAAGGAAGGTCACTTAATTCAATAAGCAGCATAGATATTAATCCAGCAATGAAATAACCCTTTGGTAATGGCACAGCTTGGAACTCAGCTCATTTGATTTTTTCACAATAACTGAAAAATTGTTGTAGAATAGATAATGACTCACCATAGTAGATATATTTGTACTGATTTAAACACGCATCTTAGGTGCAATCCAAGGGTTCAAAGGTAGGACACCACACTCACCTATGCGGTGGAGAGAAGTACCTTCAAAGGAATGGCTCAAAGTCCCTAAGGTAGGTTGCTTGAAATAAGCAGAAATAGAGAACGTGGACAGTCCACTGACATCAATAATATTCTTTAGAAACCTGACCACAAAGACACTCAGGCATACTAGCTGTTTTTCCCTCGTAAGGTCCTGTGCAGTCTGAGTAAAAGCGGTAGAATGTGTTGCAAAGACACTTATAATTTAACCCTATCTTTAAGAAAAAAAAAAAAAAAAATCAATAAATTTGTCTAACTGAAGCTTGTTTACTTCAATATTTGGATGTTTGTCTTGAGATCTTTTCACTTTATTTTTCAGTTGCTGGAGGTACATATCTTATGAGAAAGAATACTTTTACAAACATGTTTTAGTACTGAGTACCTTGTAGATAAGTTCCCTACATAAAACTAATGCTTACTGGATAAGGAGAATGCCAGTTCCTGACAATTTGCATGAACAATTAATAATAATAATATAATAATAAT